TATATATATATATATATATATATATATATATATATATATATATATATATATATATATATATATACCGTCCGATAAATGGTGATCCGTATATCGATCTACTGACAAACTAGTATGTACCACCCGTACCGAACAGTATTATTCGAAATTGAAGTTGATAAAACGAAAGTATCGTAAATGATTCAAGTGGACTCCTAACTTCAATCAAACTGACTACAAGCTTAAAAATATAGTATCATAATGAACAACTAAAAAGACATAGTATGATGTCACCTATCATATTTTTCAATAGCATTTATAGTATTTTCAGTATCTCAATAAAAATATTATAAATATTATTAAAAATGTTATACATGAGTCCAATGAAAACACTGTAATAGTTTAAAATTGATAAAAATAAAAAAATAATTTTTTTTTAGTGTCAAATATATATTTCTCTTACCAAAGACAAATGCAATATGATCCACAAGTTCAATTCTTTATGGCCAACATCCTTATTCTTCATAAATTGTCAACATTCTTTACAAGAACACATCATTATGTATTTTAAAAAATTATTATAAGAAAATAAAATTTGTATTTCACATAAGATCCAGATATATCTGTAATGACGTCATATTTGTATCTAGGATGTATAGAATTACATCTTGAATCTTTTTTTATGTCCATCATATATGATTGTGAAGTACTACAAGTGATCAAGATAAACTTGATAATATATGTAACACTGATCCTATTGAATTCAACCTCAAACAAAATCAAATTTGTATTGGATTTCTGATATCTACAAAACATCTCCTTGAATTTGTATTGTCTCATATCAAAGATAAGTTAGGTTTAGGAAGAAAGAAGAAAATGCTAGCCTCCATCTCATTGAATACGAAGTCCTTCTTGATTTTACAGAAAAATAGATTGATAACTATAATCACCATATTGTCATAATAAAAATAGATCAAACTGGCATATAACAAAGAGTTACATGAAAAGAAGTCAATAAACCAACAAAAAAAATTATGAAATCACTAGGACAAATAAATTAATTCAAAAAATATAAGTAGATAATGAAGTGTTATTAAGTAGATAATGCTCCCTATGGTCACTAATTATTAATGAAATAAGGAATACATAATGAAGAGAAAAAAGATAAGTAATTAATGAATACAACCTATAATGAAATAAGGTCTACCTAATGTTTCGGGTAAAAAAAATATAGATTAGTCGGTCCCTATTGTCACTAATGATTTAATGAAATAAGTGATACTTAATGCGGAGAAAAAAAAGATAATTCATGAGTATAACCTATAATGAAATTAGATCATTCTAATGTTCTAAGTAAGAAATTCTTTGGATTGATTAGTTCTTATGATCACCGATAATTTAATAAAATAAAAGACATCGTAAAAAGAAAATAAATAATTCATTAGTACAATCTATAATAAACTAAGACATGCTTAATATTCTCTGAATTGGTCAATTAAGTATCTATTAGTATTAGAACCTATTGGTAAGATCATGATAAAGTTGGACTCGAGAAAAGATATAAGTCCTTTTTTTTATATAAAATACTCATATTTTAAATATTTCTCAATTGTTGCCACTCCTTTTTGGGTTTTTTTTTTTCAAACAATGCTTCTAACTTAAAAAATATCCAAAAATCCTGCCAAAATTTTTTTTACTTGTTTTACTGTTTCGGTCACCACAATAAAAAAAAAAATTATATAAGACCAACTTGAGAACATTATCAATGAGCCATATAGAATTAAAAAATACCAAAAATTTGATGAAAAAAGTTTTAGGGGTATTCTGAATATTCTTTAAATTAGAGGTACTATTTACAAAAAAAAAAAAAGTAAAGGAGGTGTCGATTGAGAAATATCCAAAA